AATCGGAGGAACTACAAGAAAGAAGAAACAAAACAAAAGAGAAGGAAAGCAAACAGTATGCTTTGATTTGCATTCAGACTTCAAAGTTCTTTCTCTGGATGTGGATAGCACCTCCACCATGAGTCCTTTGGACTTGTTTAAGATCCTTGCATTGCTAAGAAGAGCTAAGTCTTTCAAGGTCAGTCATCACACAATGTGGCTGTTAATGTTTCAATGTTCTCCTGGTTCTGCTCACTTCACTCAGCATCAGACCATACAAGTCTTTCCAGGTTTTTCTGAAGTCAGCCTGTTCATCATTTCTTATAGCACAATAGTATTCCATTACATTCATATACCACAACTTGTTCAGCCATTCCCCAATTGGTGGACATGCCTCAATTTCCAGTTCTTTGCCACCACAAAAAGAACTGCTATAAATACTTTTGTACATGTGGGTCCTTTTCCCATTTTTATGGTATCTTTGGGATGCAGACATAGAAGTGGTATTGCTGGGTTAAAGGGTATGTACAATTTTATAGCCCTTTGGGCATAGTTCCAAATTGCTCTCCAAAATGTCTGGATCAGTTCACAACTCCACCAACATTGCATTAGTGTTCCAATTTTCCTACATCTTCTCCAACATTTATAATTTTCCTGTTTTGTCATATTAGCCAACTTGATAGGTGTGATGTGGTACCTCAGAGTCATTTTGATTTGCATTTCTCTCATCAATAGTGATTTAGAGCATTTTTGCATATGACTATAGATAGCTTTGATTTCCTCCTCTGAAAACTACCCATTCATATCCTTTGACCATTTATCAATTGGGGAATGACTTGTATTCCTATCAATTTGACTCAGTTTTCTATATATTTTAGAAATGAGGCCTTTATCAGAGACACTGGTTATAAAATTGTTTCCCAGCTTTCTGCTTCCCTTCTAATCTTGGTTGCATTGGTTTCGTTTGTCCAAAACCTTTTCAATTTAATGTAACCAAAATCATCCATTTCGCATTTCATAATGTTCTCCATCTCTTGCTTGGTCATAAATTCTTCCCTTCTCCATAGATCTGACAGGTAAACTATTCCTTGTTTTCCTAGTTTGCTTATAGTATCAGTCTTTATATCTAAATCATGTACTCATTTTGATTTTATTTTGATACAGGGTATAAGATGTTGGTCTATGTCTAGTTTCTGCCATACTATTTTCCAGTTTTCCCAGCAGTTTTTGTTAAATAGTGATCTCATCCCAGAAGCTGGAGTCTTTGATTTATCAAATAGCAGATTACTATAGTCACTGACTGTTGTGTCTTGCATACCTCACCTATTCCATAAACGCTTTTTTCATTCATTCTGCAAGCCAAACTAGTCTTGCTTTACCTCACATGACATTTAATCTCCATTCCCTGTGTTGTTGTACAGGTTGTTCCCCATGCCTAGGATGTACTCTCCTTCTCTGCCTCTTGGAATCTCTGGCTGTCCCCAGAGCTCAGCTCAAACACCACCTCCCACATAATCTTTCCTGATGCTCCCAGCCACTGGTGTCTCTGTTCGCAAAAAGCCTCCTATTTACTTGGTATATATTTTGTATCTACTTCAGGCTATAAAAAAGATAAATTGGAGATAACCTTATGGTGAAGGCACTAGCATTGAGGGGACCAGGAAAGACTTCATGCAGAATGTTAAGCGCCATAAGAGTTAGGTATGAAATGCAAGGGGAGTTTCAATAAAGTACGAATTACTTCCATTTGTGGGGTGGAGAATAAAGCATTTTAGCTGGGCTGTGAATGGTAGGCAGGATTTTGAAAGACAGATACAGGGAGTTTGGGGGAGGGAACATCCTGGATAGAAGGAAAGAGAAATAAAGATCTTAAGGGAGAGAAGTTTGAGTCAACTGGGGAAAAGACAGCAGATTGAAGTGTGAATTGAACACGAATAGTAGGGGGTAAAGCTCTAAAATACATTGAATGAGAGACAAAAGTATTTGGTTTTATTATGTATGACAATAGTAAGGAAGGAGTAGGAAAATGAATGAGCTGTTATAAATTAATTCAGCTTAAATTACTCTAGTTCTTATCCTTTCCTTCACAGCATCTCTATCCCAACTATTTCTCTCATTTTTACTAATTTCTAATCAAATTAACAAATATTTCTTGATTACTTACTATATTTAAGCTTTTCATATTCCTCTGAAATTTCAGAACATATGCTCTAAAAAGTGGTGTCAAACTCAAACAGAAGCCAGGCCACTAAATTGTACATAAGAATTCCTGCAGTCTGCGTATTGACTTAGAAAACTACATTATCTGTGCTCTGTTGTATTCTTATTTATTTCATTAAATATTTCCCAATTACATTTTAATATAATTCAGGCCCAAGTTAGGAGTCAGGTTTGACACCTCTGCTCTAAAAATCATTTAGTCCCACCTTCTCATTCTGGAGACAGGAAATGGAGGTTCAGAATAGTTATTTGCCCAGTCACATAGGTCTCCACATGTTTTTAAATTCACTTCTAAAGAAGGTGAGGAAGCTGAGGACTTTCTCATCTTAAGCTAAATGTTAAATATTTTGCACAAAACCCATTTCTCTTGATCTCTTTACGAAATTAAGCAGTATTACACAATGAAAAGAGCGAGCACTGGCTCCTGTTTAAACTTCCCTTCTGATACTACCAGGGTGGCCTTGGGCAAATAATTTAACCTCTGTGTCTGTGTCATCTATAAAATGAAGAAGTTGGATTAGATTGCTGCAAGGGGCCACTCAAGCCCTAGTTCTATGGTTCTATGATCTTCCAAAATCTTCACTTCCCAAATCTTCAAGGATAAGGACCAGTCCTATAGGGTGGAAGTGGATGAAGGCTACTTTCTGAATTGTTGGTGTTTGTCCTTCATTCTCAAAGATGACCATGACATTAAGGAGGTAATGCCATGATATGCAAATGAATTGGATTAAAGGGAGGCAGGGCTGTGTAAAGTCATGAGCCTCACTTTCTCCTCTGGAGCCATCTGGTTCCAGTGGCCAGATACAGATCAGGACAACTTGAGATGGCCCTAGATTCAGTGGGAGACGTTGGTCTTTAACAGGTCTCAGTTGGACTGAAGCAAAGCCCATTTGGTGATAAAGGCTAGGTAAGAAATGAAACAGAGAATGACCTGTTATACAAAGTCACAAAACACACACAAAAAACAAGCAATTTAGGAAGGGAGAGACCCTCAGGGTTTCTGGCCCAAACAGAAACTGCTATTTACATTCACTGTAAGCCAATCAGGGCCCAAACAATGACCAAGTGGGCCTTGGCCTGGAACCTATTGTTGGCCAATCAATGAAAGCCAGGCTGCTTGGTGGATAGAATGATGGTCCTGGGGTTGACTCATCTTCCAGAGTTCCAATTTGACCTCAGACACTTGTGAGACCCTGGGCAAGTCACTTAACCCTGTTTGTCTCAGTTTTCTCAACTGTAAAATTAGCTGGAGAAGGAAATGGCAAACCACTCCAGTATCTTTGCCAAGACTAAATGGGTTCACAAAGAGTTTAACAGCAACAACTTTAACTGCCAAGGATAATGTGAGGAAAAGATAAAAGTTTAATCACCAGTCTTTCTGGGGGGGAAAAAAACGAAATGACGCCCTTTCACATTTATTTTGCATTTTTTTGCCATCACCTTTTTATATTTAGACAATCAAGAAAATAATGAGGCCCCATTTATAGTTTTCTGACTTCTTATGGTGTAAATACAATGAAATTTTAACAATCAACTCTGGTTGATTCTAACAATCAACTCTGGCTCCAGCACAACACACCTGATTTTTGTCCTTCTCAAATAAGTCATTTTCTTTGCCTGGGTCTGTGGCTAAAGGTGATCATTTAAGTCCTTACTAGATTTTTGGTTCTATTCTTAAACCTCTTTAAGTGACAGACTGCAAGGCGGCATTTGAGAACCTTGGATCAGGCTTGTGAACTGCACTCCCCTGACCCTTCCAAAAGCACAGTGACACATTCCACTTGACATCAGAAAATAAATACCTCCAGATCAGAAAGAATACATTTCCTCATTATAAACCTGCATTTATAAAAACCAGCATTCAACATTGTCCCCTACTGCACATCACCTTGCCCTCTGCCCCAGCTGAGTTGGGAAGGAATAGGTCTTACCCAAAATCCTGACATCACCCTCTCAGGATTTGTACAGTCATTACTAAAATTCACATTTTAAAACATAACCCCACTGGCTCTGCCACTCTTTCCTCCTCTCATGCGTGGGTGAGACGAGCCGGAGACCTGTCCCAGTCCCAAAAACTGGTTTCTAATCTTGGAACCACTGTGGACGACCTGAGTGACCGCGCGGTCACACTTCACGGAGAAGAGCTGGACCGTATGACTCCTAAAGCTCCTTTCCAGGTCTCAATTCTACGATCCAGGAGGTGATGACCTTGGCCCGGCCCTGCCCGCCCCGCCTCAGCATTGGACCCGCCGCCCTCTTCTAAAGCCCCTTCATGCACCTTAGTGAAAAAACACCCACGAAAGGGCGGGGCCCCCCAACGTGTCGTCCTCCCAGGTTCACAATTTCACGGGCTCGCAGTTAACTAAGCAGTGGAAAAACCACTAAAAATAATTAGCAATCATCAAGCTAATCCTGACGCTGACTTGGGCCCGCCCTTCCACATCCGTCTCAAGAAAATACCCCACCCTCCGCCCAGGCAAGGCACCAGCGCGCCTTAACCGTCGCTCCTCCCCCAATCCTTTTATGCGCGGAGATCGAGACTTGAGGCGGGATCTCCTAAGAACTGACCACTAAACGCCACCTTGCTCGGACCTGCGCCTTGGACCCAGCCAATCCGCGCGAGGTTGTCGCCTTGGTCCGAGGTCAAGGTGAGGCACTCTGCGGAAGTACCCGCCTCTCGCTCCGCCCCTGCTTCCTCGCGGGGGCCCTCCGGGCCACGGAATCGGATGTGCGTCACCGCGCGCTCCGACGCCTCCCAGCGGAGGTACGTCGCTGCGCAGTTGACGCCGGGACGTGCTTGCCGTTGCTGCCGCCGCCACCGCCTGGTTGAAGCACTATGGAGGGAGCTTCGGCCAAGCGCTGGTACTTCACCCGGGAACAGCTGGAAAAGAGTCCGTCCCGTCGCGCTGGCATCGACCCGGACAAAGAACTCTATTGCCGGCAGCAAGCAGCCAATCTGCTTCAGGACATGGGGCAGCGTCTCAACGTGTATCCTTACCGCCGCGCCGCGGCCTAGGCCTCGGGATCGCTCCGCTGAGCCTCTGGTTCTGGGTACGGTCGGGGACTGAGTAACAGGGAAACTGGGAGCGGGGCGTAGCATCTTGTTTTTTTCGGGGTTCAGGGACCGCTGGGTAGGCCCAGGATGCCAGCATGGAAAGGGTTAGGACACTGTTTCCGTGGGGGGTGGTGAAGCGGAGTCATTTCCCGCTCCACGGCCGCCGGCCATCTACTCTTTTTAGCGCAGTGTATGCAGTTCCCGGACCCAGTGTCTCTTCCCAGCTCTATGTTACCTTTTTCCTGACAATTTTTTTTAAACTTTGTACGGCCTTCATGCACTCGGTCTCGGAGAATTGGCCTGCTTCTACCTTATGGGGGCTGGGAGAAAGGGGTTTCCAAATCTTCAGCTGCCTTCTAGCTTTTGTTGAAGACGTGTCGAAGGGTGAGGCAGGGAGAGTGGAGACAGGACGGGTTGTGAAGTAGAATTGTTAAACATGAATTGTCTACAGTGGTTGACTGGAATTTATGCCCCAAGTGCTTTAGGTAGTGACCTGACTGTGAAAACACTAGTATGGCCTGAATTAACCTTCTCTCATTTTGTTATTGTACCTACTCCTTCCACTAGTAGAAATGATCAGAACTCCCGTATAACTGAATTGGTGATAATCCTCATTTGAACCAAAGGCCAGTTCTGTACTTATATTTAGAAAATGTTTGTTAGCTTTAAAATTTTATGTTTACTTTTATTAATGTTATACCTTGTATAAGGGCCCTGGGTGTGAATTAAAACAATATTACCTGTGCTAAATTCCTTTCAGTCTACTGGCCCATACTGATAGTCAGATTTGGACTGGATGGTCTAGGGAAGGGGTTCTTAACCTGGGATAGATTTCTAGGGGTCTGGATGGAAAAAAAAAATTAAATATTTTCCATTAACTTGATCCTGGAGTCAAGGAGACTTGATTTCAAATTCAGCCTCAGACACTTAGTAGCTAGGTGACCCCTGGGCAAGTCATTTAAACATTGCGTCAGTTTCTTCATCTGTAACATGAGAATAATTAGCACCTACCTCCCAGGGCTGTTGTGTTGACAAAATGAGATATTTATTTGTAAATTGCTTTGCAAACCTTAAAGCACTACTTATAATTATTATTAATCAAAATTTAACATTTCTTTTAATTTTTTAAAAGTATTCTGAAAAAAGTGTCCATTGGCTTTACCAGCCTGCCAAAGAAGTCCATAACACACACACACACACACACACACACACACACACACACACTTAAGAATATTTGATCTGGAGTTTGGGTGGTCCTATTGTGTAGATGTTTTGGTGACTAAATCTGCTAATTCTTCAACTGTTTTGATAGAAACAAGTGGTAATGGTGTGAAGTGGTTACTGTGTTAAGGGTCATTCATTCACCAAAATTTTTTTTGAATTCCCATTGAGCAAGTAAATATAGTGCCTACAAAAGCATTGTGACAAGTACTTGGGAAAGACAACAGGGATACAAAGAACGAAGAGCTTGCTCTCCAGGAGTTTGACATCTAGTAGGGGAATTTGTGCTGAGGTTGAGCTACATAACTGTAAGGTCTTTGTGCTCTAAGATGTAATTTTAGTGGAGAAGATAAATACATCAATAACTGCTGCTTGGCTGGATAGAGAAATTTTTTAGTATCTGGATTAACAGTTATTAACAATTAATCGTTGGGAGCATTCCTTTGTTTTGGATCAAGATATCCTTGTTGATGCAAAAAACAGTACGGTTATAAGCTCCTAAAAAGCTTACTGTTTAGGATATTAGACGGTTCAATATGAAAAGTTTTGTCCCATTGTAGGGGTAGTATGTCATAATGGTCAAATGAATGGGACACCCAAAGTAAAGGCTATAGAAAATTAGAGGAGGAAAAGATGTGACTTTGGTAGTACTGTGAATCTGTGTATTTTAGTACATATAAAAGACTGGATTTTACGTGTTTTTAAAGCATGGTGATAAATATTATTCATATTCAGCAATGAAGTTGCTAGTAGCAGTTATCTGTGTTTGTCGGAGAAAATTAACGCGAGATCAACGGTTCTTTCTGTGCATATGAGGTTCTTGATTGTTTGGCTGGAATCTACAGTTCTAGGAAAAAAAAGGCCAAGGTCTCTTACTGTATCCAGGGCCATCTCCAGTTGTCTTGATCTATTTCTTGCCACTGGATCCAGATGGCTCTGAGGGAGAAAGTGAGGTTGGTGACTTTGCATAGCCTTCCCTCACTTCAGTCTAATTCACTTGCAAGTCATGATATCAGCTTCCTGCTGTCTTGGTCCTTTTCAAGAATGAAGGACAAACAACAACAGTTCTAGAAATATATTATTGAATGTGATTTTCTATCATAGATTTAAAGTTACCTAGAAGAGCTATTGTCTTGTTTGCCTTTTTTCTCAAATGTTTTGGCATCCTAGAAGTCTGTAGATATTCCTCACCTGAAGTTGTGCTTTTGTTCATGTTTAGAGCAATTTTTCTTTGATGTTGAATTTTCCCCCATCATCATCGAGTTATAACTTATACGTGGCTTACCTATTGTTACAAAATCTAGACTAAGAATGGAAAACCTTATCTGCTACTTTACATATTCATCTTATTGAACAGATTTTTGAGTGCTTACTATGTACATAGAATTGTCCTAGGCTTTTTGAATGGTGGAAAAAAGTATAATGTGTTTCAGACCTCATACTTGCAATGTAGTATAATTACAATTAACTGGAATAGAAAATTAAAAGAAATGCTTTTAGCTTTCCAGTAGACATAGGAAAATCTCCTTGACCTGAGTCATAGGGTCATAGATTTATAGCTTAGAGGAACCTTAGAGATCACTGAGTTCAAACCTTTCATTTTAGAAAAGAGAAAATAGGGGCCAGAGAGGTAACTCTTAAAATGACATGAGAAGAGTCAGGAGTACTTTAATATCCCAGCATTCCTTAAATATATCTCATTTGATGCTGTTTTTGTGGGTCTTTAGAGCAATTTCATATGTACCCAGGACCTGTGATTGCATTGATAGATTATATTTTCATACAGAAGGAATTATTTTTATACTTTATATGGTCTTTGAGAAAAGCAGAAGATTGTTAACGTTTGTGGAAACTTTGATCTGTGCTTATCTGCATTTTGACTTAACTTAAATCTCTCAGCTCCCAACTGACCATCAACACTGCCATTGTGTACATGCACCGATTCTACATGGTCCAGTCTTTTACACAGTTCCATCGGAATGTAAGTATGGTTTTACAAAGGATAGAGGAATACTTTATAGATGGAGGGTGGAATGGGAGTGGGCATTTATTAAGCACTTACTGTGTGCCAGGCATTTACTAAGTGCTTTACAAATAACTTATTTGATGGAGAAGTGTAAACAATGCAGTGTAAATAATTGGTTGTCTGTACCTAATCTTTTTTTATTTAACCTAATCTTAATTTATTTAATGATTTGGAAGAGGAGTACATAATGATATTTCCAATTCTGTTTCAATTCAACAGGCATTAAGCTTTTACTAGGGCACATTAAAACTTGAAAGAGATAAATTTAAGATGTGCTGCTTTGCACAATGGTTAGTAAATATGGGGAACTTTTAGAGATTAATAGAGATAGTAGACACTAAAAGTGTAGAGAGAGATAAGGACATGGGGACTGATCCTGTGATTTCATTCATACGAAGAACTCCTATGAGGAAACTCCTGCATTGGTCTGACAGGTCAGCACCTTCTCTGCAACTTAAAATATTCTTAGAGAGTTGGCTAGAGCATTGAGAGATTAAGTGACTTCCTCAAGGTCACACAGCTATTGTGTATCAGAGGCAGGACTTGAATTAAGTCTTCTTGACTATAAGGCTGGCTCTGTCCACTACAGAAACTGCTGCTTAAGAATGTGAATAGATTTGAAATGAGTTCAAGTAAATTCAAGGAAGTCTTAATAGGTTATAGAAGACTAGGATGTTTAGAACATAGCACTAACCTTTTTAGTTAATGTCAGAGAAGACAGTGATTAGTTTCTAGTTAATGAAGAAGCTTGAATCCTGCCTTACACTTCATAGCTCTTTAACCCTGGGCAAATCACTTAACCTCTCTCTAAGCCTCAGTTTTCCTATCTGCAAAATGGGGATAATAATAGCCCTTTCCCTAGGCTTCTTAATGTGAATCAAATGAGGTGTTTTTTCACAGTTATATACACACCACCCAATATAAGTATTATTCATATTATTGTAATAACTTAGTACCACTGTCAGTCAGAATACTGGGCTAGGCAAAGTGTTCTTGAAGCTGAACTAATATTTGTACAGTTCTTGTGTTCTTAAATTTTGAGATAACCTGGAGAAAAGGCTATGGGTATGGCAAAATCAGGTTTGGGAATCATTGTATGGATAACTCTGGATTATTTTCCTGGTTTTGAACATTTGAGGTTTCCACTTTGAAAAGGACTTTAGCAGATGTTATATTAGCATCTAATATGGGTTTTCACCTTGATTTAATCAGAATGAAAGTATTAAAATTGGAAAAGCTAAAGCTTTTTAAAGAGGCAACAGCTGCTTTGGTCTTTCACAGTGTTCTTTAAGTCCTATCTCATCTTGGTGTGCAGGCTCTCTTGTATGATTTGAAGCCTGCAATGAAATCTGAAATCATTATGTTCACTATACATACAAAAATATGATTTGACAGTATATATATTGTGGCTAAACTTCAACAAATATACAACTTTATAACATTATTCTTTTGGTTTAATAAGTTGGATTTGTGATATTATAATGGTTTTAACTGAATTAAAATTATAGACAACGCAGAGGACAATAGAAAGTTGCATGCTTTTTCTTTTTGGGGGGGAATCACTATCAATCTTCCTTCTAAAACATCTCCCTCTCCACCAAAAAAAGAAAAAAAAGCCCTTCCTTTTAAACATAGTCCAGCAAAACATATGAACACACATCTATACCTCTAGTAGTTCATTCTGTTGATGAATGATTCATCACTGGTCTTCTGAAGCCTGTATTGTTCATTGAATTGATGGAAGATCTTAGTCTTTCAAAAATGTGGCACAGAAGAAGGGGCATTAGACCTGGAGTAAGAAAGACCTCAGTTCAAATTCAGCCTTACATTCTTACTAGCTGGTGGATGCGGGGCACTTAACTTTTGCTTCAGTTTCCTCAGTTATAAAGTAGAGAAAAATAATGTCTGCCTTCCAGGGTTGTTAAATATAAACATATGTAAATATATATATATATATATATATATAAGTATAAATAAAATTAAATCATATTTGTCTAGTACCTTACAAACATTAGAGTGTCAACATTAGTGATAGCTGTTATTATTCCCTTATTAATATTGTGGTCATTGTATAAATTGTTTTCCTGGTTCTGCTCACTTCACATTGTTTATGCAATTTTCCCAGGTTTCTCTGAATCTATCCCTTTCTTTACTTCCATTTCTTTTGTACTGTCATAATTTTTTTTAGCCACTGCTTAATTCATGGACACCATCTTCATTTCTAATTCTTTGCCAGAGTAAAAAGTTTTGCCATAAATGTATTTGTATATGTGAGTCTTTGTCTTCTTTCTTGGAACTCTTCATGGTATAAAACTAATAGTGGTATTGCTGGGTGAAGGGGATAGGAACAGATTAATAGCTTTTCCAGAAACCAGCCTTAAACATTTCCCCCTGCCACATAGTCCTGGGAATACTCATTGTTTAAGGAAAAGAACCTTTTTCTCATACTTTATGTTGAAAAATACTGAATCATTTGCCCCAGGGTATTTCAAGGTAAAGTGGAGGCAATGTGGCACAGTATGGAGAGTTCTGGGAATCAGAGTACTTGGACATTTTGCTCACTTACCCTCTTTGTGAATTGGTTTGGGCAAGTCACACCCTGAGTCTAAGTTTTCTCCTCTATCAAATGACGGTTTTCGACTAAATGAGGGGTCCTTTTGAGTTCTATATAGGGTGCTATGGTTAACTGCTTTATTTTGGAAAAACTTAAACTTTTGGGACTTTCTCCTTTAAGTAAGTAAATGTTTCTGGAATTTGTTACAGAAATTTTTCCTAGCTAAGCCGTTACAAGTACTGAATAGGCGTCTGTGAAATTCTTTTTTCTTAGGTAAACCTTGAATTTCCTCTTCTTCAGAGTGAAGAATATAGCAGATTTTCCATAATTTTCAGAAAACAAACGAAAACAAAACCTTTCCTTTGCCCTGCTATGCTCCATAGCTACTGTCTTATTTTCCTCTTGCTATTCATTACCAGATTTTTAGGAATGGTCTGTACCTGCTGCCTCCATCGCTCCCAGTCCTTTCTTAAGCCTTTTCATTTTGTCCTTCACCTCCTTCCCCTCATTTTGCTGAAACTGCCCTTGCAGATGAATAAAGCTATCATTTTGGGGGGCAACTAGGTGTCACAGTGGATAGAGCACCTGCCCTGGAGTCAGGAGGACCTGAGTTCAAATCCGACCTCAGACACTTGACACTTACTAGCTGTGAGACCCTGGGCAAGTCACTTAATCCCATTACCTAGGGCCGCACCCCCCCCACGCCCCCCGCAAGATATCATTTTTGCTTAACCTTTGTGGCATGTGACCATCTTCATTAAATTTCTTTCTTCCTTTGGTAATGTTGTTTTTGTTTTCCAAGTGAGCTTTCCCCGAGACCTTTTTTTTTTTTCTCATTACACTCTCCCTTTCAGAGAATTTGTCTTTTAAAGGTTTCAGTTACCACTACTATTCAGATAATTCCAGTTCTTAGCCAAGTCCCTTCTCTGTAATATCAATTCACTATCTTCAGACACCTATGAGACATTTCCATCTGTGTGGAAATTTCTACCTTGCTATTGTTTTAAAATCAAACCTATTCCCTCAAACCCCGACTACCTGAGGAGGGAAAAGGGTAAAAATTTGACTTGCAAATCGTCTTCCTCTCCGTTCCCTACTTCAAGCCTCTACTTAAAAAAAAAAATGCATGGACAGAGGATTCTGGGAAGATGGTGGAATAAGGGAGGAAATCACCTGGCTCGCCCAAATTCATCTACAAACCATTTAAAATAAAGCCTCAAAGTTAAATAATTAAGTCTGTGTGAAGCAGTTATTCCCCAAAGAAAGACCTGACTCCTGGGATGATGGTTTGGCTTAATTAAAGTGCAGACACCGCAGAATCAACACAACAAAACCTGGGGGCAGCTGTGTCTCAGCCTCAGCTTCAGGAACTTTTGCCTCACTAATAGTATGGGGGGGTCAAATGGGAGTTGGATAGTGGTGCTACAGAGCCCAGGACTCTAGGTGTGCTGACTAAACATTGTCCCAGGCTATGGCTGTGGATGAGGAGGAAGGGAACACACACCAGTGAGGGGGGCGGGGGGTCATGCTGCCTGTGGACACTTGCAGAGTCCCTGATTTTGGTTTCAGGGCAGAGGGGTGAACTGAAACTTGAAGCCCCAGGAGGGACCACCGGGAGTAAAAGCTTTTGAGGTGACAACTTTGCTGGGGGCCCTGGTTGTGACTCTGAGAGAGAGGTACCAGAGGTCAAGTCCTCAGATAAAACACAGAAAACAGCACAGAAAAGCCTGAAGCCTGAAACATTATCCCAGACACTTAAGGATTAGAGCCCAACTCTAACATAAAGATAACAGCCAATAAATAAGCCTCGTAAATAATGAGTAAGCAAAAGAGAAAGAACCAAAGCATAGAGAGCTTCTATGGTGATAATAAAGCTCTGGTTTCAAACTTAGAATAAGATAATGAAGTTAAAACAACTACTTCTGCTTGAAAGAAAAGTGTCAGATAGTTATAAGCCCAAAAAGAGTTTTTGGAAGAGTTTAAAAAGGACTTTAAAAATCAAATAAAAGGGGTTGAAGAAAAATTAAAAAAAAATAATGCAAGAAAATAAAATATTATGAAAAGAAAGTCAACCAATTGGAAAAAAAGATCTAACTCCTTAAAAATTAGAATTGGGCAAGGGAAAACTAATGCTGTCACAAGATGCCAAGAAATAGTTAAAAAAAAAATCAAAAGAATGAAAAAATAGAATGTGAAACATCTCATTAAAAAAACAACTGACCTGGAGAACAAATCAAGGAGAGACAAAATGAGAATTGTTGGACTACCTGAAAGTTATCGTTAAAAAAAAAGTCTAGACATCATACTTAAAGAAATTAAGAAAATTGCCCTGAAGTTTTAGAATGAGAAATTTTAAAAATCCACAGTTTACCACCCGAAAGAGATCCCAAGATGAATACTC